TCAGTTAAAAATAAAATTAGATGTTTGCATATGAACTCTTGGTCACACTTTCCTTACAAGTCGATTTTTAGAGGTAAGTTCTACTCATTGAGTCATAACAGTTACTTTGAATATTTAATCCTAATCCATGGTCTGGGCCATTTCAATTGTCACATGGCACTCGAATTGTTGCTTCCTGCCCATATAATGTTGCTCAATTTCAATTACCACATGCTAAATACACTACTAAGATCAAAGAATGGATTGTTAATTGTCCCACCTTACATTGAATATATAGTTATCAGTTAGACCCATTGGTATTTCCCTTTGAGTGGTGGGAGAGTAGAGAGCCTACCCTCATCACTCCAAGTTCGGGTTGGCCTGGATTAAGACAGAACACCCATAAAATCTCTTTGGCTATCAAAATTTGCGTTGACCAAACTATAACTGATAATGGGCCGTGCCGTGTTTAGCAAATTTTGCATCGATTTAATTATTAAGTCAATCTAATTCATCCTAATGTTAACTATTTAAACTCATTATGACTAAACTTAAATTTATTAATTCTATATTGATTTTTTATACCATGTTCACGAATCGTGTATAAACTTACCAAGCCCCGAGCAAAGACTATTCATTTGATGGTTGGTATTCTCCAGGTCGAGCCAATGACGGTGTGTATGTGTGTAAGTTCTTGTCAAGGGTTCTTCAAAAACTACCCCTTGGGCCCATCTAAGTCTAAACAACTCGTGAAAGTTTGGTAAAGCCACTGGTGGCCATTATCAAACATGCCACCCAGATGACGTGGATCTTCATATTCTACTAGGAAATGAATAAATATTTAGTAACTAACTAATCGAGAAAAAAAAATAGAGACTTAGTAAAAAAAAAAAAAAAAGATATAAAAAGGGACCATTAGGTTGACTTTCGCTCTTTCTTTGTATGAAAAATCATTTTTTTAGTGAAAGCATATCTATAAAGTATAAACAACACTTTTTTTCAATTAGAAAATAATTATCAATATTTTGAAAAATTATATAATTTAAAATGCTATCAATCCAAGTCATGAAAGTTGTCACGAGTGTTGGGATTTGACAAGGCAAACCGACAATCAATTTTATATTTGAAAAGCATTTGGGAAGAATATAGGATCTAACTCTAGTTAAGATAATTAAAAAAATGTTTTAGCAGATAATCATGATCTTCTGATAACTATTCTTATGGGCTTATCGAATTAGATTATCATAATTAATGTTGTCCAAATCAATAAACCATAAAATAATTATGATGGCAATCCCACTCAAAATGGGCCATAAAGTTGGCAACCTAACGCCAATATATTGACGTCTAACTACTATTATGGGTTCAATTCATCATCAACCACGCAAACCTCGACCTCGTCCTGGCCTAGAATTAGGGGGTTTGTTGGGAGATTTTGGGAAAACAAGAAATTAATGCGAAAAAAAAAATCTTAAATGAGTGCTATATTTTTTTTTACAACTTTTCATTAAAGTATGTACATTCAATACTATTGTAACAATTGTGACACAACTAAGTATTTTTACATTTAAACATATTTTTTTACAAAATACCTTAATTTAAGTATTTTAATTTTGAATATCTAAGCAATAATTATTTAATGAAAGTGTTTTATTTTTTTATAAAACACTTATGATAAACATTTATTGAAAAAGTGTTTACGAAATTTCATAAATTTTTCCAAACACACTAGTAATCTTGAAAAAAAAGTAGTTGCGAGCTCTATAGGAAGTCCAGATATCTTTTAGTTGAAAAACAAAAAATTCATTGCAAGAGAAGAAAAAAGACTATGGGAAAGGAAAAAATCACTTCTTCCAAAAGCTAAGCTACAAAAATGTTTTCACTAGGAATTGTTTTCCGTTTTAATCTTTTGTCTGCTTGCAAAATAGAAAGATGAAAAATATGAAAAATTAATCAAACATTATGTTTGGATATGAACGAAAAGTGAAAGGAAAGATAAGTGTATGAATTAGTCTTCTTTTAATTTATCAAAATCTATCTCTTCAAAATTAGGCCAAAAAAAAAACATATTTTGCATGTTGAAAAATAGGTTATATTCTTTTATAAGCCTTAAATATGTACATATATTGTATACTTCGATTACATATTATGTATAAATTAATCTCATATATGTGGTTAGGATTCTAAAATATGTTTATATATCTTCTCCTTTCGTCTACTTTTTCATCCATACCAATAATAAAAAAAATCGACCACTTTATTTTTTGTCTTTTTTACTAAACATGTATTAAAAAAAATTAAAATTTCTTTTATTAGAATAGAGAAAATATGTTTCTCGTACTTTTCTTTTCTTCCCTTTTAATATCCATCCTATTAAATACAATATAAATGATCCCTTCAATGCCAAACTCCCAACACGAAAATGATGTTGCTTCCCCTCCCCTCTCATTCCGTCCAAGTGGAGTGTGAAGAAAATTTATGATACGGAGTTACATTGAGGCGTGCAAAATCTGACGTATAAAGACGATCGATGGTCGACATGGATGATGACAACAACGTTGGTGACCATGATCGATGGTGACGTTGACGATCAGTGACGAGGTTTGATGGCACGACAGCTATCATCGAAGATATATACCAGAAAGTTTGCGCCATCAGTTTGAACACGAACGATATGCCAAGTAGGAGAGAAACGTATTGATCCAAATGAAGATATTAATTCTTTGCATTTCTTGAGTGTCGCAAGTGTTACACATTTTCTTTTTAATATTACGGTCAAAGTTGTTCAGATTAATTAACATACTTTTTAATTAATTTTTTTTGATCTGATTAAAAATAGAGCATTCATGTCAGAAGTTGAAAATTTATGAGAATAAACCTAATTCAGAAAAAATTATTAAGTTTTAAATTCAAGACATTCTCTTATAATCCTAAGTGATGAGGTAGAAAAGTGATGCAGAGATTTATGAAATTCTTCTAATGTAAGTCGGATATTTATTTGACTCACTTTTGGATCGGATGTAATAAATTTGCATTGAAATTATTTTTTGGGATAATTAAACAACATCTATTAATGATTTTTTCACGAATAATGTGCGAGTTGCGGGTTGGGTCCTCAGGCTGTTTTGAAAAATCTAGTGCATGAAATGTATGCTTCCATCCCCTTACATCTTGAAGGGTACGCCCTAGAAGATCCACCCATGTACTGTAGTGAGAACTCATTTGCTCGAAATATTGATATTCCCAAAACAATTAGACTTCCATATATTTTGTTAGAGAAATTTTTGAGCGGGTTTAACACACCACGTGATATTGTTGTGCTGACCACATGAGAGTATGTTGTGATGTATAATACTCACAGAAAATTTTCTCATTTTCTTGAGAATCCATATTGCATTATCTTTTTATGCTTTCTAGTATTATTATGTTACAAACGGAAATTAGGGATAAAACAACATTATCTTTTTATGCTACAAAAGTATTATTATATTACAAACCGAAATTAGGGATAAAACAAATAACTTTTAAATGTCCTCATCTATAATATAACATTTAGGTTTAGGTGAATGAATTGATGCTAATGCTTCGTTTGTTATAATGAAAAAATGAAATGATAAAAATTTGGAAGAATCGAAAGTTGGAGGGATAGATAAAACATCATGTTTTGCAAGAAAGAAAAATAGGAACAACGAAAAAGTGGATGAATTAATTTTTTTTGCAACTCATCAAAATTAACCCCTCTAAAATTGGGAGAAAAAGTGAATAGAAAATTAAATATATGTGTTGAAATGTATATTATTTGTTTATATATTATTTGATATATATATAATATTTATCAATTACATATTGTGTATACTTTAATTTCATACATAAATATAATGATAAAATATGTACTTATATTTTTCTAATAAAAATTTTGAAAATTAAAATTAAAATTTTTAAAAATAAAAAATATATTTTTTCATTTTATCAAGCGCAAAAAAAAAACCAATACTTCATATTTTTCATTCCTCTTATGAAACATAAAAGAAGAAAGAAATGATTCATTTCTTGAAGGATAAAAAATATATCACTCTTATTTTTTATCCTTCAATTTTTTCATCTATCCTACCAAACTTAAAATAAAAGTGACAATATTAACTGCAATTTTGATTAGAAACTTCTAGNATTGTGATGTCACATCAATTTAAAATAGGTTACAAGTGTGTATATGAATTTTTAGGTATTTTTTCCTTGAAAGTCGATTTTCGAGACAAGTTCTACTTATAGGTTCATAACAATTAATATCCCTATTAAACATTTTTNCTTATTTTTTATCCTTCAATTTTTTCATCTATCCTACCAAACTTAAAATAAAAGTGACAATATTAACTGCAATTTTGATTAGAAACTTCTAGATGCTACGGTACTGCTCACTGCATACATGATTAGGTGTTTGATAATTTCCTGTGAAAAACGAGCTCAACTATAGCAGTCATTCACTCAAGAGTGGAAATTTGATAATTTCCTGTGAGATTTCTTAATGTGGACAAAGAATTATCAATCTTATTAGGTGTTTAATGTTAATTTATTGTCACTTAATTAATCATTATTTTATTTTATTTTTATTTTATGGGGGAGGGAGAGAGAGAGAATTTGAACTCTTAATTTTAAAAAAATAAAACTTTCACATGACAAAGAGTATCATCAAATCAAAAACCCATTGATACTTAATTAATCATAACCTCTTACTAGTATAAATTAATCTATTTTTAAACCGTGAACTAAGTTCGCTAAAATCAAACAATTCAATAATTATAATGAATAGATTAATAAATTAGATTCAAATAGCATTCTTCAATTTGATATATGATACATAAAATAAAAAAGAATCCTCCGGAGATGTACTATTTTTAAGAATTCTACAACCAGATTTACAATAACAAGAAGGGAGGATCTACGTACGAACTACATAAAATTAAACAAGTTTAGACATTTAAATAAGCCTTAAAACTATTCTGACCTTGTTTGTTATGAGTTGCCTAGCAAGCTGCGGATGGATGGGTAAAGTGGCTATAAAAGTGAGGCTTTGTGCCTGTTGAGAAAGGAGATTTTGTGGAGTTTTCGACAGCGCCGACGCCACCGATCTTCTCACAGGAAGGGCACATGGTTAGGGTGGCTGCCTGCAGTTGCATGTAGAACGGTGGTGATAGTTTTACTGCTTTCAGCTGTTGCAGCTCCTTGTGCAGCTTTCTGTTCTCCTCAGTTAGTTTTTCACAACACTTCTTCAGTAGCTCACAGTCCACTTCAGTTTGCTTCAGCTTAGTCCTGTGTGGAGAGAGAGAGAGAGAGAGAGAGAGAGAGAATCAATTAGAATTTTGGTTACTCGGATTAAACATAGTGAAAAATTAGCTCTCCTAATGCATTAAAAATGGCTTGTGAGGCTACCTAGCTCTTCTGTTTTGAAACCATACTTCTACTTGTCTTGGCCGTAGATTCAACCGTGTTGCTAAAACCTGCTTTTGGTTCTTAAAAATCAAAAAAAAAAAAAAAAATGGAATTCAGTTTGATTGAAAAAAAAAAACCTTATTAAAATATAGCAATATTGCAGATGGAAAAAAAAGAGAGGGAAAGAGGAAATACAGGATTGAGAGTGCTGTGTTCTTTGAAGCTGTCTTCTAAAAGAACTGACTGTTCTTTGGTCAGTCTAAGTTTCTTCTTTGTATTGCCCTCTTCATCATGATCATTATTCTGCTTGGAAGAAACATTCTCTACCTCTACTTCTTCGCTACTAACCTCCCTCTCCCTCTTCACACCAGTGTTAGAAAATGATGAAACAGCACTGATCGAAGAGGCCTGCCTGTACAGATCAGTATGAGACTCACCCGACACTTTTTCTGGTGACAATCCTAACATAAGAGATGGGAACGTGAGATCAAATTCCATGGATGATCTCTTCTTTTCTTGATGATCAAACTGAAGATTATATTTAGGCTGGTGTAGAGAGACTAATCCAAGACTAAGGCCTGTATCACATATGTCCTGAAGATCCATCATGTAAGACCTTATGATACAGAAATTATGGGTCACAGACTTGAGATATTAGGGAGTTCTTGTTTAAATAAATGGAGGAGAGAGAGAGAGAGAGAGAGAGAGAGAGAGAGAGAGAGAGAGAGTATTGAAGTTTTCTGGAGGAGGAGAGTGGAGGGGCCGATTATTGATCTAAGGAATGAATGAGTAGAGGAAACGAATCTAGACTGTTGAATTATGAGAACCCCATCTCTATTTGTCTTCTTTGGTTGACCGAGGGAGTCTCTCTCTCTCTCTCTCTCTCTCTCTCCATGTGTATGGTGCATAGAATATATGACATACGTGGAATCCCATATATAGGAAGTGGTATACACGAGAACACAAGAGAAGAGAATGATTCGCCACTTTTACCTTTTCTTTTTAGCTTTTCTTCTTCGGAATTTTAGTTTTATGCAGTGTAGGAGACAATTAGACAGCCACTTTTCTTTGATTATGGTTCATCTGGCAATTACTTTAGTAACCATTCCAATCATGTATAGAGAAGGGTTCAATGTATATGTTTCTTTTCTATATATTCCGTCAATGAATTTGATTATCATTAAAAATCAATAGATCCATTCACATTATTTTTAATTCATGAAAAGACAAATGCTATTCATACTCTCTTGGGATATGAGAGTGAAAGTTTCTACCTAGTTAGTCTCTCAATTGTGGTAAAAAATTTTGTGCAAATGAAGGTGTGTAATTTGGTTCTTCGAGCTACATGCAACATATGTATCAATCAACCCCTGTTGATTTAGACTTAATTTATTGATATAATCAATACGTGTAATTTAATTGATAATTTACTCCGATATTAATTGAAATTGATTACCAATCTATGAAATTAAGTTAATAAATTAGTTTTATTGTATTTTTAGAGCAGTATGGGGCCAATCAAAGGGTTGTGCCTATGCTTATCCAATGGGACTACTTTCCTTCATGACTCATGAGAGTCAGGATTGGAGCCCCATAATTCTATGCTAGCATGTCCACCGAGTCGCAGACCACCCAGATGTCTCCCACCTTTTGCTTCTATAAATTTTATCAGGAGACATAGGGTTTTGTATAACCAAGGTTTTATTAGTAGTTTGATTTTTGGAGGAAAGATAAGATTGTCATGGAGTAAATTAACCTAAGATGCTTCACACGTGAACAAGCTTATAGGATTGTTACTCATAATGATTGGCCAGAAAATATATAAACCTTTAAGCAATTTTGTGGACAGACCACGCCCGTGTGCCAAAAAAATAAGTTATCTCTTAGCAACTTGAGAGTTATCCTTATTTCATTGTTTTTTCTACTCCCCTGGATAATTATGTTTAGGGATCTTACTTACCATTTTTGGAGTTTTATGTTGGTGACTATAATTGATGTTTAGATTAAATTTAACATAGCAATCTATTGATAACTTTTCACACTCAAACACCCCCTCCAGCACACATATATGGGCCAAAAGATAAGTTATGATTTCGAGTTTAAAAATCAATTCCAAAACCTTCCCACTGTCTGCTCCATATTCTGGCCTACCCGTGTAGGTTATATGATTGACTTACATTATCATAGTTGTTGAACATCTTTTTCATGAAAACATAAGTGTGATGGGATGTGGTGCCTATTATGATATGGCTAATCCACCGACAAAGTTCTCCAATCCTTTCTATAAGTTCAATCTTGATTATGATAATGACAATTACCTGTAAGATACTTCTCACCGTTGGATGGATTCACTTTTTATTTTANAGAGAGAGAGAGAGAGAGAGAACTGTGCGGGTAACTTTGTTTGGAAGGCCCAAAAAGTTTAACAAATTGTATGTGAGTAAGGTTTGGGCATCCATAATTAATTTTCTGTTTTGTAATACTCTATAGATGCTTTGTTTAGTACATATTCACTTCTTTTTTTTTTTTTAAATTAGCCAAATTGCACTTGGGTGGCCAGTGATCGTGACAACTGATTGACCATTGTTTGAGTCGTCCATAATCAGGGAATCCATTTTTGACAATTAGTTTGTGATCGAATCTAATCATAATTATGTATGAAAAATAGAATCTAAGCATATTTGAACTTGACAATCTTGGTTCGATCAACATCTTTATTGAGACAACTCAGATTTAGTTGTTTTCCCTAACTACATGTGATTGATAAGCATTAAACTACCTACGGTTACATGTTCTTTTTCACAAAATCATGTGGGTTGAGAAAGTGGTGATAGTATGCTTCGACAATAATGGGCATGTAGAATGCTAAGACTTGGTGAAATGGAAATAATTTCTGTATACGACACTAAAAGTCTAGTCAGAACCACATGTTATCTAATAATCTTCTTCGATTTCATTAGATTAGAGGATAAGCAAGGCACCGACTTTGTAAAAAGCAAAGCTTATCTTACCCCACTTAGATTGTCTTCGTCCCTGCCTTTTTGTGGGATGAAGCTTTGGAGAATTAATCCAGGGAGATGTCTGGCTCTTAGCATGCACCCATGAAGGTAAATAATATTCTATATATAATCTATACATTGTTTTAAAAAAAAAAAAAATTGTTGAATCACGTATTTTTTGGACTCGAGATTGTGATATAAACTCGAAAAACACGTAATCATTTGCAAACTATGCAGAACACTGTATTTAATAGGCGATAATGAAACATGAGAATGAAATGAGTATGACTCTGAGTATACGGAATCTCTCGATTTNGAAAAGTGAAAGGAAAGATAAGTGTATGAATTAGTCTTCTTTTAATTTATCAAAACCTATCTCTTCAAAATTAGGCCAAAAAAAAAAAACATATTTTGCATGTTGAAAAATAGGTTATATTCTTTTATAAGCCTTAAATATGTACATATATTGTATACTTCGATTACATATTATGTATAAATTAATCTCATATATGTGGTTAGGATTCTAAAATATGTTTATATATCTTCTCCTTTCGTCTACTTTTTCATCCATACCAATAATAAAAAAAATCGACCACTTTATTTTTTGTCTTTTTTACTAAACATGTATTAAAAAAAATTAAAATTTCTTTTATTAGAATAGAGAAAATATGTTTCTCGTACTTTTCTTTTCTTCCCTTTTAATATCCATCCTATTAAATACAATATAAATGATCCCTTCAATGCCAAACTCCCAACACGAAAATGATGTTGCTTCCCCTCCCCTCTCATTCCGTCCAAGTGGAGTGTGAAGAAAATTTATGATACGGAGTTACATTGAGGCGTGCAAAATCTGACGTATAAAGACTATCGATGGTCGACATGGATGATGACAACAACGTTGGTGACCATGATCGATGGTGACGTTGACGATCAGTGACGAGGTTTGATGGCACGACAGCTATCATCGAAGATATATACCAGAAAGTTTGCGCCATCAGTTTGAACACGAACGATATGCCAAGTAGGAGAGAAACGTATTGATCCAAATGAAGATATTAATTCTTTGCATTTCTTGAGTGTCGCAAGTGTTACACATTTTCTTTTTAATATTACGGTCAAAGTTGTTCAGATTAATTAACATACTTTTTAATTAATTTTTTTTGATCTGATTAAAAATAGAGCATTCATGTCAGAAGTTGAAAATTTATGAGAATAAACCTAATTCAAAAAAAATTATAAAGTTTTAAATTCAAGACATTCTCTTATAATCCTAAGTGATGAGGTAGAAAAGTGATGCAGAGATTTATGAAATTCTTCTAATGTAAGTCGGATATTTATTTGACTCACTTTTGGATCGGATGTAATAAATTTGCATTGAAATTATTTTTTGGGATAATTAAACAACATCTATTAATGATTTTTTCATGAATAATGTGCGAGTTGCGGGTTGGGTCCTCAGGCTGTTTTGAAATATCTAGTGCATGAAATGTATGCTTCCATCCCCTTACATCTTGAAGGGTACACCCTAGAAGATCCACCCATGTACTGTAGTGAGAACTCATTTGCTCGAAATATTGATATTCCCAAAACAATTAGACTTCCATATATTTTCTTAGAGAAATTTTTGAGCGGGTTTAACACACCACGTGATATTGTTGTGCTGACCACACGAGAGTATGTTGTGACGTATAATACTCACAGAAAATTTTCTCATTTTCTTGAGAATCCATATTGCATTATCTTTTTATGCTTTCTAGTATTATTCTGTTACAAACGGAAATTAGGGATAAAACAACATTATCTTTTTATGCTTTCTAGTATTATTATGTTACAAACCGAAATTAGGGATAAAACAAATAACTTTTAAATGTCCTCGAATGAATTGATGCTAATGTTTCGTTTGGTATAATGAAAAAATGAAATGATAAAAATTTGGAAGAATTGAAAGTTGGAGGGATAGATAAAACATCATATTTTGCAAGAAAGAAAAATAAGAACAATGAAAAAGTAGATGAATTAACTTTCTTTGCAACTCATTAAAATTAACCCCCCTAAAATTGGGAGAAAAAGTGAATAGAAAGTTAAATATATGTGTTGAAATGTATATTATTTGTTTATATATCATTTGATATATATATTATATTTATCAATTACATATTGTGTATACTTTAATTTCATATATAAATATAATGATAAAATATGTATTTATATTTTTCTAATAAAAATTTTGAAAATTAAAATTAAAATTTTAAAAAATAAAAAATATATTTTTTCCATTTTATCAAGCGCAAAAAAAAAACCAATACTTCATATTTTTCATTCCTCTTATGAAACATAAAAGAAGAAAGAAATGATTTATTTTTTGAAGGATAAAAAATATATCGCTCTTATTTTTTATCCTTCGATTTTTTGATCTATCCTACCAAACTTAAGATAAAAGTGACAATATTAACTGCAATTTTGATTAGAAACTTCTGGATGCTACGGTACTGCTCACTGCATACATGATTAGGTGTTTGATAATTTCCTGTGAAAAACGAGCTCAACTATAGCAGTCATTCACTCACTCACTCAAGAGTGGAAATTTGATAATTTCCTGTGAGATTTCTTAATGTGGACAAAGAATTATCAATCTTATTAGGTGTTTAATGTTAATTTATTGTCACTTAATTAATCATTTTTTTATTTTTTTTTTATTTTCTAGGGGAGGGAGAGAGAGAGAATTTGAACTCTTGATTTCAAAAAAATAAAATTTTTACAGGACAAAGAGTATCATCAAATCAAAAACCCATTGATACTTAATTAATCATAACCTCTTACTAGTATAAATTAATCTATTTTTAAACCGTGAACTAAGTTCGCTAAAATCAAACAATTCAATAATTATAATGAATAAATTAATAAATTAGATTCAAATAACATTCTTCAATTTGATATATGATACATAAAATAAAAAAGAATCCTCCGGAGATGTACTATTTTTAAGAATTCTACAACCAGATTTACAATAACAAGAAGGGAGGATCTACGTACGAACTACATAAAATTAAACAAGTTTAGACATTTAAATAAGCCTTAAACCAGAAACTATTCTGACCTTGTTTGTTATGAGTTGCCTAGCAAGCTGCGGATGGATGGGTAAAGTGGCTATAAAAGTGAGGCTTTGTGCCTGTTGAGAAAGGAGATTTTGTGGAGTTTTCGACAGCGCCGACGCCACCGATCTTCTCACAGGAAGGGCACATGGTTAGGGTGGCTGCCTGCAGTTGCATGTAGAACGGTGGTGATAGTTTTACTGCTTTCAGCTGTTGCAGCTCCTTGTGCAGCTTTCTGTTCTCCTCAGTTAGTTTTTCACAACACTTCTTCAGTAGCTCACAGTCCACTTCAGTTTGCTTCAGCTTAGTCCTGTGTGGAGAGAGAGAGAGAGAGAGAGAGAGAGAGAATCAATTAGAATTTTGGTTACTCGGATTAAACATAGTGAAAAATTAGCTCTCCTAATGCATTAAAAATGGCTTGTGAGGCTACCTAGCTCTTCTGTTTTGAAACCATACTTCTANGAGATAAGTTATGATTTCGAGTTTAAAAATCAATTCCAAAACCTTCCCACTGTCTACTCCATATTCTGCCCTACCCGTGTAGGTTATATGATTGACTTACATTATCATAGTTGTTGAACATCTTTTTCATGAAAACGTAAGTGTGATGGGATGTGGTGCCTATTATGATATGGCTAATCCACCGACAAAGTTCTCCAATCCTTTCTATAAGTTCAATCTTGATTATGATAATGAAAATTACCTGTAAGATACTTCTCACCGTTGGATGGATTCACTTTTTATTTTATGTTTAACTTTGTACATCTGAAAAACCAACTATAATGGCATGCCCAAATGAGGAGTCTGAGTTCTTTTGAATAGGTACCGTCACTCATATTCTAACAGTTTACAAATAATATTTGAAGAGAGATTGATAAAGTATGTGTAGCAAAAGACTACATAATAGATCAAGATTATCGGAAGTGACATTGATCGGGGCTGATCCCCACTACTACGTCAGAAAAATGCACAAGACTCCAATGCGAAGGGCCCTTGGCGAGGTTTAAGAAATATATGTAGTCTAGTCATTTGTAAGCCAAAACGAAATTTATACTACTATTTACACTCTTTTTTGTTTTATTTCTCTATTGTGGGTATTTTTATAATTTCACCTAGTTTTTTTTTACGTAATTTAGGCATCATATGGTTTCTTATTTATATTGGGTCATAGAACTATACAGCATCTTTGGTATTTTTTAATAATATTTCAGAGAACATTTTTCTCTCTTTTCTCAATTACTTTTCTATTTTAAGAATTAACAAAGCCATTAGTATCTTTGTTCCGGTTTTACTCACTCACGCTCCATTCTACACAAGAAGAAAATATCAATGATTTTCATATTGAATAAATATCATGTTGGATTAGTAGAGTTTATTAATTATATACGATTATTTTTATTGGTGATATCACCGGATAGTGATAATGTGCTATTATTACTTTATTGAATATTTTACTCTCCAATATAAGATGATTGGATTATACACAATAATATACATGACACATAATTAATGAGGCTTCTTTTTACATTGGTAGACGTATTCATCTTCACTTGGTTCGGNCATATAATTAATGAGGCTTCTTTTTACATTGGTAGACGTATTCATCTTCACTTGGTTCGGCTATTGAGCAATGTTATGTTTATCAAATTATTTTTTAAATTTTGTATCCCAAATTAATGTGAGTGGTCGAATCAGTGGGGTATACTAACTACAACAAATATTCATAAGATTTTAACACATTATTTAGAATATAAGATTTAGTAAACAAATTTAAGCAATAGAATTTTTTCCGTCGGCTGTTTGGCCATGAAAAGTTGTTTAGCGGACATTATTAATGGATTATTTAAACCTTCATTGACAAGTTTTCTAGCGTGAATGGATAGGCATTGACTTTGACACAGTGGGACAAAACCAACAACATATGATTAGGAATAATAATGAATGTTAGTGATGGCTAATATTTTGTTGATCCTNGAATTTTTTCCGTCGGCTGTTTGGCCATGAAAAGTTGTTTAATGGATTATTTAAACCTTCATTGACAAGTTTTCTAGCGTGAATGGATAGGCATTGACTTTGACACAGTGGGACAAAACCAATAACATATGATTAGGAATAATAATGAATGTTAGTGATGGCTAATATTTTGTTGATCCTGCATTATCCCAAAAAAGACAAATCAAAGAAACATAGGAAAAGTTAATAAACAAATGATGCTGAATAGCACTAGCAGAGGTTCTCCTTTCCCTCAAATGGGACTAGCTAGTGGGGTTTGAAAGAGCAAAATGCACACCATTGTTGATTCTTTGTCATGCAATACCTACGTGTTGCGAACCGAGCGACGACACGTGGACTGTCAACGTGGAGCCGACAAGGTTAGGCATATAGGTTCCACCAATGATTTGGCTTGATGGGCATTTGATTCTTGGCGAGGTTGATTATGGAGCGTAGAAGTTGGCAATGATGGGTGGGGGGTGGGGTGATGTTGGAGATAAGGTTTCATATGGGTTCCGGGCTTTAAGGCCAGCCGACCAGTGTTTGTGCATCATTGTGCTCTTTGTTTGGCTTTTATACATCCCTTTTTCATGCTTGTAAGCGTCCATAATCAGGGAGCCAAGTCTTCTTTGTCTGTACTTCCTTTTTATTTGTTATTCTATATATATATATATATA